CGTCACTGTCACATTCGCTACGGGTCGACTTCCAAACTGTAGGTCACAAGATAGTCGGAGCTTATGTTCGAACAACACTTTCGCTGGGGTCTGGCCCGTTTACCTCGTTAACTGCAGCCCGAAACGCTATCAGAAACACGGGGAGATACCTGTCCCAATCACGCTGGTGGCTAGATACTACTTTTGAAACGTATTTTCCGATGGTCCGGTTCATCCCTCCCACCAGCCGGTCCGATAGGGGGTGCAAGACGTTCTGGTCTTGATAACCAGCTTCCCGCAGACTCCTTTGAAGAGTTTCGCTCTCGAAGTTCCTGCCCTGGTCGGAGTGCGGCTCTAGTGGGACTCCAAGCTGGCTGATAGTCTGCAACCGTGGCAGTTTCTTGGTTGGGGATAGCTTACTGAAGTAGTCCACAGCAACCCGATTCTGGAAACGGTCCCGAGATGTCAATAGCTATCATTTCAAATGGCCTCCCACGTTATATCGCTTCATCTTGGCCTTCGGCTGCCGCAGCGGTCCACTGCTCGCGCAACACGTTGTACATTTCCAGCACTACTTTCTGACATCATCAGAGTAGTTCATCCGGTAAAACCGCTCTCGAACCTTTCCCAGGATCTTGTTGACACCCATGTGTCTATCTGATGTTCCATCGTGGAACTGACGGAGAACCTCGAGCACCCGGTTCCTTGGTATCATCAGCTGCAGCCTCCGCTGGGACCCATCTGCGTTCTCCACGCTGGCTTCAGGACTTCATTTTCTAGTACCAAAGAGTTCCGCCGGGATCAGACTTGGCCGCTGGTATCAGTAGGGCGACTTCCTCCCAGGTTGGTCGACGGCCGTCTTCATTCCACTATTTCAGCCGTTTGATGTCTCGCTCCTGGTCTTCACCGGATAATGCCGGGCAACCAGTTATAATCCACTACCGTCGACTTGCAGATGGTCGCTGTCCTCTCATCGAGCCTACTGCAGTGTGGGCACTCCGGTGAGCACGGACTTCTGAACAAGGCGTCAGCGTTGCCCTGGCTCCATCTAGCACGATGCTGAATCTCGAAGTCATACTCGGCGAGCCGCTTGACCTTCGGGATTTTTAAACTGTAGGAGCCACTTCAGTGCCGCACGGTCCGTCTGGATCTCGAATTTCCACCTGAACAGGTATTTGTAATAGGCCTCCAATACCTTGATCACAGCCAACACCTCTCGTCTTGTAACGCAGTAGCTACGTTCAGGCGTCCATAGGATCTTGCTAAAATACCCGACGGTGCGTTCCTGTTGTCATCTTCTCTGTCAGGGCCTATTTTTCCTCCTTCAGCGCATTAGTGGTAACAATCATCTGGGAAAGAGCCTCGTTCTCCTCCTTCATCGTCTGCGACAGGGCCTGGTTCTCCTTCCTCAGCGACTGCGACAGGGACTTTTCTCCTCCTTCAGCATCCGTGACAGGTCCGGTTCTCCTTTCTCAGCGTAGACAGGACTATCTCGGCGTCGACGGAACCTGGAATCTTGAATTGGAAGGCCTCTGGATCGCTCATGGTCACCCAAAACAGTAACTCCATTTAGTTTATAATACTTGCAACTAATTTATAACTACAATGACTGGACTATTATTCCATCTTAACTTCGCGCCGTTGACAGTCTCAACTGTGACTGGTTCTTCCGCCATCTTGTCGGGTATTTATTCCCCTATGAACAGTCGAGAAACATTCCAGCGCTTTCCGGCCGAGCCACGAACTTTCATTGAAGTGATCTAGATTCATGTCCAGACATGTAGAATATTCGCGATGGCATCAAGGTCGGTCCAGAACGCGACCGCGCTCCATCATAGATGCCTAAGCATCAATATCACTTCTGGCCACCTGTCGAATCTTCTAGTTGATGTACAAGGGTGTCGGTCACTGGTACCAGGTACCAGGTTTCTAGTTATACGTTTGAGTTATATTATAAAGTATACTTTTCCGCCCGGTCGCAGATAACAGTAATGTACTGTTATTACTTTTTAAATATCCTCAAATTAATGTTTAATGGATATCAGATATTTCCCTCGAAACGATGACGCTACCTTGAGGAACGTTCAAGCGAGGATTTAAATTTTCATTTCACAGTAGGGTGTAGCAGTTGTCATCACAAGCTGTAATCATCGATAAAAATGCAACCAACCGTTGCACCGAACTGCTCTACTGCTTGCAGGTTGTCGATTACACCTGTCAGACTAAACTACTACAGTATCTCACAAAAAAGCATATATTTTAATACCCCAATTTTATAATAAATTATAATGTGTGGCAGTTAAAAAAAGAAGTATAGCGAAGATTAGAAGATGCATCAATCGAAATACTAGGCAAATTTGAAGAGATCATTAGGAATAAAAACAGATAGCTCCTCAATAACGTTGAAGAGCAAATTTCAGAAACTTTCAGTACAATACATACATAATAAGCAAACAACTCAAAAAATTATGGGACACCAAACAAGGTAAGAAGAACTATTTTGCAACACATAGGTGATAACTATAGTCTCTATAAATTAGTTTTTACAAATTCATCTTTTTTAATTGGTAAGGCTCATAGAGCAGGCTGCTTTATAAAAATTCTACTTAGCTTTGTTTGATGTTATTCCAAAAATTTTTTAGCTGCTTACTGGTTCTTTTGGGCGTATTGATCTCATTAAATATTTTTGTTACTTCCTCCAATATTGTTTTTGACATGTATGGAGAAGCCGTCAATTTCTTATTTTCAATTTATCCAATAATATATAGCAACCAGAGACATTTTCTCTGCCTCGTTAATCTTCTCTTTATATTCGCTATTACACTGTTTATTAAAATGTTAGGCCCGTATCGTCAGTCGTTCCAACAATTGTAGGACGTTTTTATGGCCTCCTTGATTGTCATACTCCTTTCTCTCCTTCAAAAATTTCTAGATTGCACCTGTTCTGTGTCAGCGCTCTCCTATTATGAAAATATGTTTTCTTTTTAAATTGTAGGAAATTTCAGGCTGATAAAATATGATATAAATCAAAAGCTTGCACAATTTGATGCAAATAGATATTTGTGACATAACCTCAAAATAGAGCGCTGACACGGAAAAGTAGAAAACTATGATAATCAAGGAGGCCATAAAGGCGTCCTACAATTGTAGGAACGACTGACGATACGGGCATTAGAGATTACAAAATATTTGAATTTGAGATAGTATTTACGCCGAATCTGGCAGATCTTGGCGATAACCTACAACCAGTAGAGCAGTTGAGTGCAACGATTGCCTATATTCAGTTTTTACTTCTCGTGATTGTGCTGTAAGTCTAGCAAGCAAGTAACACATTATTTTGCATTTTTATTGATGTTTAGCACAAATAAGCCGCCAAATCGTTCCAGTTTATCATCAAAATGCTAAATATTTACGCCCAGCAAAGAAGCCTCATTGATCCACTGTTTCCAAGGATATATATCATATCCATTGATTCCAAGGAAGCGTCTCGATTCAAAGAAGGTCTATAAATCTGACTCTAAAATATTTCAATGTATCTTTAGTTGCTATACTAGTGACATATAAATCCGAACACCCATTTAAATGGTTTTATTTAAATAAAATGTTGTATAAGTATTTAATGAGCATATAAGTGAATGATAAAATTTCAAATGATTGCACTGCTTTAAAAAAAGCCTTTGACCTTTAATAATGTGTGGATACTCCCTGATGTGCTACGCATTCTCCAACGCGCCTAGGCATGCTTCTGATCAGGTGGTCAATGTCCTCCTGTGTATCTCATTCCATGCAACCACCACTCCTCTCGAAGTGCTTTCTAGTCTGAGAGACGTTGCAAATTGAGCAATTCTCCTACCATCATATTCCACACGTGCGCAATTGGGGATAAGTCGGGAGATCTTGGTGGCCATGGTAACAATGTGACATCATTATGTTGAAAGAAGTCTATTGTGACTCTTGCAACATGTGGTCGGGCATTATCTTGTTGGAAAGTTGGATCTGCCAGGGTGTCAAGATAGGGTAAAGATGGGGTTCTAGAACTTCGTGGATATATCGCTGCGCGTCCATGTTACCTCTGATGAAGATTAAAGGTGGTCCTGGAACCATAAGCTATAGCACCCCAAACCATAACTCCAACAGTGTGATGAACATGTCTTTCAACAAAAACTGTGGATTCCTCCTTTCACCACGTCGCCTTCTCACCCTGGCACGACCATCGTGCATGCCTAAACAAAATCGAGACTCGTCACTAAAGACAATACTGTTCCATTCCTGATCCCAGAGTGACCGTTGTCTGCACCACTCAAAGGGCGATTACGTCGGTGTTCTCGAGTTAAAGGGAGGACCCAGTGTGGCCGGTATGAAAACAAGCCAAAAACTTCTCATTCGTCGGTAAACACTTCGCATGCCAATAGGTCTTCCGTGTTCTGCAAACCATTCATTTGCAATGGACCTGGTAGTGGAGAAACGGTCCCTTAAGACCAATAATCTTAGGCGGCGATCTTCACGGTCTGTTGTTCTACGGCGGCGTCCAGTGCCCCTTGCTCTTTGCGTACGGCCTTCTCGAAGCCATGTCCGACAACACCTAACCACAGTGTCTACACTTCTTTGCACTCTAACTGAAATTGCCCGGAAAGAAAGTCCAGCTTCCCGAAGTCCCACTATACGGCCCCTATCCAACTCACTAAGTTGACGAAATCGTACATGTCTCCGTACTCTAGGCATCGTAACCGATCGTAAAGGATGTCAAGAACCAAAATCCACCAACGCTGATTCTTTACTGCGGCTCAAATATTCATTTTTAGAGCGTTAGTGAATTAAAAAAATAGTATAAAAACGGAATGTCCAACTGATAAGGATGAAAATTTTTTCACTTGTTATTTACAGTAAGATAAATACATTCACCAACTTTTATTAAAATAAAACCGTTTAATAAACGGGGTGTTCGGATTTATATTTCACTTAGTATATGTCGGTGTTAATAAATAACTTACTTCATCAAGGGGACTCCAAAGCCTTTTTGATCACATTCTTTCATGTGCCAGTTTCAAGTTCACTGTCTCAGGACGGATTTGGATTGTGTTTTCTGGCAAATTGAACACAAGCTTCAGCTTCTGAATCTGTAATAAAACGATCTGCTATTTGCATGAAATAAATTATAGATATTTTTAGTACAAATAGCCACAAACTAACAAGTCGTGAATATATAGTCGCTGTAACAGCACCATTTCACAAAATTACACAATTCTGATTGCGAGAAGCTGTGGGATGGTCGGTACCTTTCTGGCGTAACTTTTCACAACTAGCATACATTAACACTTTCGCTGCTAGCTTCTATGATGCAGAGTAACCCAGATACGACAATGTTTTTTTTTCTATTATAGGTATCGAGATGTTTTTTTCTATGAACGTTTTTGACAGATATTTGCCGCCCCATACAATAATAATAAATAATTTATTGGTACTATTACACAAAAATGTGTTTGCACAGGTCATTTAAAGTAGAACATAAAAGAGTAAGTAAAAGTAACAAACAATACGAAAATAAGACAAACGTAAAACACAAAGTGGCAATAAAAGGTAAAAAAAACTTGATAAAACTATTTTAAAATTTAGAGGAACAATAAAATAAGATGGTTAAAAAATTATGAAATACTAATCATTTTTTCATGTTTGTACTCAAAGTCCTTACACACGTCTGGAGAACGATAAAATAAATACAAAAATAACACATAAAAAACAAACGAAAACAAAGTAATAAAGTCAACAATTATGGAACAAAGTCGGTAAAATCATTATTTAAAAACTCATCTATGCTGTAAAAAGCTTTCGTCACTAATATCTTTTCACAGTTGCTTTAAAAATGGTTGAGTTGAGTGTTTGACAAAACTTGGGCAGCGCATTAAAAAATTTCACACCGAAATAATTACTTCCGTGTCTAGTTTTTGAAAGTCTTGTGTACTCTGGTATTAATTCATTGTTGAACCTTGTGTTATATTTGTGAATCTCTTTCGGAGTTCTGTAATCATCGTAATTATTTTTAACGTGGATCAGACATTCCAGTATATATATGCATGGCACAGTTAAAATTTTTAGGTCGATAAATGTCGTCTTGCAACACTGTCTGAAATATAAGTTTGCTATTATTCTCAAGCATCGTCTCTGAACAGCAAACACCTTCGATACATGACATGAATGTCCCCAAATCAGTATGCAGTATTGCAAGTTAGATTGGAAGTAAGCATAATAGGCTGTCATTAAAGTCGATTTTGTTACGTAGGTATTTAAACTACGTATCATATATGTTATTTTAGATAACTTCTTTGATAAAGAAGTGATGTGTGATTCCCAAGTTAAGCTTGCATCAATAATCACTCCAAGAAATTTCACGGGCTCTACTAAATCACTTCTATGTGGACGAGTACTGAGTAGAAGAGATTGAGTTTTCGCTATGTTGATTGACAAACTGTTGGCATTAAACCAGTTTTGAATGTTGTCAAAATGCTGCTGAGAATCGAGCAATACATGATCAAAGTTACTATTGGAGGATATTGATGTCGTGTCATCCGCAAATAATATATACTGATTGATGCTACAGTTTGGCAGATCATTGATGTAGATCAAAAAAAGAATCGGTCCCAAGACACTTCCTTGGGGAACTCCGTGCTTAATATGCACATTGTTGGATAAACAATTTTGAAAACTAACATACTGTCTTCTATCTGATAAATAAGACGCAATTAAGGACAGGCTATTATTACTAAAACCATACAGCGACAACTTTTGAATCAAAATGTGATGTTGGACACAATCAAATGCTTTTGTAAGATCATAGAAGTTAGCGAGGGCAATCTTCCAGACATTTGTTGATGAAACTGATAAAATTGTTTATTGCTGCTTTCGTTGATCTGTTGGTACGGTATCCAAACTGGTTGTTACAGAATAAATTGTTACCTTCGAAGTATTCACATATCTGATTCTTCAGAAGAATTTCGAAAATTTTTGCTATAATTGGTATTATAGAGATGGGTCTGAAATTACATGGATCATTCTCACAGCCTTTCTTGAAGAGTGGCACAATCTTTGCAAGTTTTAATAAGGCAGGAAAGACATTATTTTCTATACACATGTTTCAATTTTGTTATAGGATATACTAACAAGTTATTTAAGGTCTTCATAATTTTAACATCGATGTCATATGGATCTTTACTTTTAGAATTCTTTAAGCTTTTGATTGCGTCTCGAACATCATTGAATGAAACAGTTCGAAAGTTGAAATGTAGTGTATCACTAGTCTGTATAAAATCTTTGAAGTTCGACTGGGTAGCTGGAATTTCAGCGATAATGGTATCAGCAATGCTGACGAAGAAAGAGTTTAAATCATTCGCGCTGAGAGTAGACGAATGTGCTTTTGATGATTGCACACCATTGGATTTAATCACGTTCCACATAGCTGCTTGTTTATCTGACGCTCTACGTATAATTTATCATGAGCATTTTTTTTCCTAATTCTGATTTCTGATCGGTACTTTGATTTGAAGACATTAATCTCCTTCTTTGATACTACTTGGGGATTATCTTTATTAATTTGTGTTATTAGTTCCAAAGTCTCTCTCATATGAGCCAATTCGTGATCAAACCAGTTGATTTTGTTGCGACAACCCTCTGATACTAACCTAGATTTGATTGGCAAGCACTCAGCGATATTATTTGTTAAGATGTTCATGAATCGTTCGAGTTTAGTGGTCAGTGGTAAACTAATATCAGACAAAAAGATCCAGTCGACTGTTTCAATTTTACTGTATAACTTGAAAAGACCTTCATCAGTGACAGGCCTGTAGTTTATTCTCTTCTAACAGGTTTTAGAGTTTTCAAATTAAAATGAAATGCAATACCTAAATGGTCAGAAAAACATGTATCAAAGGCTTCTACAACTATGCTTGACATGTTTATATTGGTGAAAATATTATCTAGACAAGCATTCTGCCTAGTATTCACATTCACAGTCTGATACAGTCCAAAAGAAACACAAATATCACACATCACATTGGCATGCTTGTCGTGAGTGTTAAATTTAAAATTAAAATCACCAGATATGATTATATTTTGCTTATAGTCTAAAGTACTAAGTAGTATTTGAAGCTTATTATAGAATATATTGAAGTCTCCATTTGGTGATCTATATATGGTTAGAATTTGTGTGCCATCCAAACAGGTGACACCAGCAACCTCAAAGTGTAACTCCTCAGAAATGTTTAAAAAAAACTTTGTCACACAAAGGCTTATTATTGACATAAATACAAACACCACCGTGGATTTTGCTTGACCTGCAAAAACTAGACACATTCATATATTCACAAATATTCAGAGTATTAATCTCATCGCAAGTCAACCAATGCTCATTCAAACAAAGAAAGTCATAACTGTGCTGTTTTGCCACCAACTCAAGTTCATCAACCTTGTTTCTCAAACACTGTACGTTTAAATGTAAAAGTTTATACCGACAATCATTCGTGCGCACTTCACAGGCGCGAGCGTGTGATAAGGAATTTTTCGATACATTCTGTTTACCCGAATCATGTCGTACTAGGTGATTAGTATCGGATTCCCACTGGCCAGTAAAAAAGCACCAGTACTCTCACTGTTGCAATGCACTCGACGTTCCATTTTATAAATTGGAATTATTGGAGGCGATAACAAAACGTTTCTTTTGAGGGTAGAGCAGCTCGTCTGCACATGACTTCTTATGATGTTTGCCAGTGATTTGCGAAAACCATTCTTTACTACTAATAACTTCACTGAACAGTTAGGGTTATTTTTAATATAACTAGTTATTTTGTTTTCCAATAGAACTGCTAAGGCTTCATCTACAGGCTCGGACTTTAGAAGAATTACTAGATTTGTAAATTTACCCAGTGGTAATACATTTCTAAGAAAACTGTTCAATGTTTTGTGGTTGCTTATGTTTTTTGTGCTGAAAACAATAATTACATAGTCACTTTGTCCATGATCCATAGTTTGAGTGAAAATATTACTTGTGATATTTGCAGCCTCTGTGTTGGGCTTAACAATTCCTTCAACTATATAGCCTATGCTCTTCATTGAATTATGTAAGACTCTAGCGCAGTTTCTGGCCAATTGATCGCCCACAATGAGCAGTTTCTTGGAAGTCTTCGCACTGTTCCTGGATTGTTTAAAAAGTTCATCATACAAAGATACATTTTCCTCAGTCCTCAGCTGTTTATCCCTATCGTCTAATATATTCTGTTGATCGTTGGCATTTCCTTCAGTGTTCTCCGACAATCGACACCTGTCTTCTTTTGTTCTTTCTTCTAATTCGCCTATTTTCCTTGAGTATGCATTGTTTGTTTCTTCAATTCGCCTATTTCTTGAGGATGCATGTTTGTTTCTTCCAAAAGACTAATGGTTTTCAGCATATCGGCATGAGTATTTTTTAGCTTCGTCATCTCTGTTTGCATGTCTTTTGTCATTTGTTCATAACTGTCCATCTGTTTCTGAAGGTTTTTGTTCTTCTCCTCTGCGTCGACTATTTCTTTTTGTAGTGTACACATTCTTTTTTTTTGGTTTTTCAATTGGTTTTTAAAAGAATTTTGCTCCTCTATGAAACTTTGTTCAAATTCAAAAACATCTTCTTCAAAATCCTTGGCCTTCTTCATTAATCTAATTATATGTTTCTCTTTATCTTGTATCTCGTCCTTTAATGAGTTAGTTTCTGTAGTGTAAGAATCGTAGTTTCGATGCTCGTTATCCTCCGATTCACAGGCAGCAGAACAATATACTCTGTCATTTAGCAGTATGATTTTGGGGCAGAGCTTCATCAGAATGAAGAGAATCCTTAGAAGCTATGAGTATGACATGAAATGTAAGATTACAACACTGTTCGCCGGGAGCAAGACATGTTCCTATCAATTTTTTATTTCCTTTAACTGGGATGTTCAAAATATTAGTGGATAACTTTTTCAAAATGAATACAATCTGTGCTAATTAGAAGCCATTTGTAAATTAATGAAATGTTGTTACGGTGCGGCTTCAAAACATCCCGACCTGTATTTTTTTATACTGAAGCAGTCGCTCACGCAGAAACCCAAATACCGGGGTAATAATTAACGTAAAGGCGGCTTGTTGCGATTTTTCAACCGCCTGAGGTTAGCGTAACTGGGAAAAACCCACCTCCGACAGACTGCTCCATAATCTCGACACCCTAGGAACGACAGAGCGGTCGTAGCGGCCAGTTCTCGATGTACGAAGTTCGGCAGTGTTGGGATGAGAGGCAACAGCCTGGCGGGTCCATCTGGTAGGCTCAACTCGCAGCGGCATCATGAAAGAGAGCTCTGAGGAGCAAAACCTGTTGACATAGTGGTAGCAGAGAGCAAGATGGTCGGCCGCCAGTCGGCCCGAAAGGGTCCCGAGACATCTGTTAGAGAAGTGTCATTGATCAGTCGAGCAGCCTTCCTCTGAACATCATCAAGTATGGAAAGTTGGAACGGCATTGTACAAATTGGCATTACATTTAAAAATGAAAAACATCGGACACGTATATGGTTGAAAAAAGAACGGAGATGCGGTCAGGGAAGACAATAGGGAATAATTGTGTAAGGAAGAACTGGGAGTTGGCTGGCTGGTAGGAGTGTAAATAGAGCTGAGCGAGAGCGTCTCGAGCGAACGGAGAGATGCAAAGCCTGATTTACGTTTTTCCCGCGACAGATTTTAATGTTATTTCCAGTCACAAATTGTTTAAATTGCGTCGTGATTCAGGTTGGCGCGACGTTACGTGGCTCTCATTAGACTGAGCTGCCGCCGTTGCTGCGCGTCGCCGCGCCGCGTCGAGCGACTTGGGGATTTCACCTTATATTTATTCCTATTATTGAAATGAATCCAGCTAGCAGAATGCGCCGTCGGATATAGAGCCCGATTCTCTGGACGGAAACGTTCCTGGAATTGATAGTGTGGTACTGATACTGCCGTCGTTGCAGGTTCAGACTGAGCAGAGATTAGTAAAATGTTCTACCAGCTCCAATGTAAGAATGTTTATATTAGGAGTTACAGTTTAGAGGTGACTGTGAGAGTTCCGCAAGGAACAGTTACGGCACCCTTAATAGGAGGAGGAGTTAGTAATAGTGGTGGCTACACTGCTGCGTTCGTAAATTGTTACCGAATGTACTTTCACAGTATTCAAGAGTAATATTCATCAGTCAATCCACATTCCATTGCTGTGTACGGTATTGCATTGCCAAGTGTTTTACAAACGCAACCCCAGTGGTAGACTAAGGATGTCCGCCGGGTATCATGTATCTTGAAACGTGACGTTATATTTTTTTGAGATTATACTGTTTTATTGACATTATGTAGGTTTTTCTACAAGATGTTAACTTAGCACTTAGTTGTACGTGTTGCCTAAACGTTATGAGGCTTGTTATCAATGTTTGGCTCTGATCTAATGTAAAATCTGCTTCAGAGATGGCATTACTGAAGGTTTAAGCTGTAAGTTGTATGTGATGATATAATTACATTGGGTTCTTGTCTCAAATACTCTTAAGCGCAGCCACTTTTCTGATTCAGTCTGGAAATACATATACAAATTTTGCTGAATTCAAAAAAAGAGAGAGTTAAGAAATAATTATATTTACTTTACACTGTCGAATTACAGCCAGATACGTACTACAGTAGTTACATACAACGCGGGCGCGCTGGTGTTTTTTTGTAACTCTTCTCAAAGTTTTTGAAAACACAACAGAAAAAGGAAAACGGGAAAAATCATAATGTATAACTTTGAACATAACCTCTCTTCAGAAAGCACAACATATAAATAACCCGTCATATTCGGTATATTCAGTAATGACTTTCTCACACAGCAAATATCACTGATTTTATACACATGCAGACCAATACACATATCGATGCGATGCTGCTATTCAACCAACTTTCTCCTCAGAGATAAAAAACTACAGAGACGGACCACTCCAGTGTTCCAACCATTTTGCTGGTCCAAAATTCCTGATAGTAAGGGGGATATAAAAAAAACTGATGTATCCCTTGGTTTTTAACCTTTTTTATTCAATAAACCAATAATATAGTTTGTAAACCTTTTTTATTCAACCAACATTATGCTATTTTTTAAAGGAATACATTGTAACATTGTATTTTTCAAAGTGTTGCTTGGTAAATATGTATATAATCATGAAAACACAATTTATTCTCATGTAAATCTACTTTTATTTTCAATAGTGCTTCCAAAAGCGATGTTGAAAGTTTATTTATTTTTTTCGTTTCAATATGATAAATGCAAATATTCTCTCAACATCGGCTATTCCGTGTGGAATACACAAAATAGTGAGGCCATCTCAGCAATATTTTGAAAAACATACTCGTCATTAAAGCTTTCCAATTTACACAAGTGTGTCCAAAAACTCTATAGTATTTTTGGAAAAATTTAACTTCTCTTCTTCAGAAAAATTTATTTTAACTTATTGTATTCAAGTATACAATGGTCGACATTAATAGGATTTATTTTCTGTGCAATGCACCTTATGTCTGTATTTGGGGTTAAGTTCAAAGCATTCTCTTTTTGATAAAATCTAAATTTTAAAAATGTATCCAAAGGACATAATATAGCATAGCAAGAAAAATGTCAACACCTTAAACAATAAACAAGAAAATTGACGCTTCGACATCAATGACTATGCAGATTGCGAATATTACCGCTGGTCGCTGGCACGGAATGTGAATCGGTGAATCCCCCAAAGGCACGCAGTCCGAGTGAAACAACACTCATATTCATGTTGCCCACGTCAAATCGATGGATGAGTATTCGCCTGAATGCGCTGTTGCTCAGTTGCTCGTGTGCCATGGAGAAAAGCGTATCAAAAATAAAATTTTGGACATATGTTTTAAACTTGTCTTTTTATTATTTTTGGTAGGACAGTGACAGTTAAATAAACCCAAATATTGGAAAATTCCGCTACTTTTCCGAATCCCGCCGCTACGCCGCTACGAAGCTTGAAATTCCTACTGTAGCGAATTCAGCTACGGTTGGCAACACTGGACCTCTCGCCACTCGGCCTTATAAAATATATGCAACCAATAATGCGTGTAATTTAGTTGAGTGATTCATCCATAGATGGACGTTCACAACGATCCTAGTGAGCAAACGTGGAATGACTGCTTTGCCCTAAAAGCTACCCGCAAGATGACATCTTACAGATTTTTTTGACGTTTTATAGGTTTTTACATGATGCCCGTACCGTTTCACCTTAATAAAATGAATGCAGTCAGCAAAATGCGTTTCCGGATATACGGAGCCGATTTCTTTGGACTGACACGTTTCTGGAATCGATGTTATGATACTAGTACTACTGTCGTTTCAGGTTCAATGTGTACTTAATAATGATCGGACATGCCTCGAGCGACCCATAGACGATAGCGTGGCACGCTTGCAATTTTGCTGTCGTGAATCTTGACTGGAGTGGGAAGTGAAACGTAAACCAGCGGTGGTCGTGATGTGTTCACATGGTTCACGATTCAGTTCACTCTTTGAGCGAAACATGTGCTTGAAAGTAGTGGAGTTTTGGGTTCAGTTTTTAGTGAGATCTTTGCGAAAAGGTTGAGAAAGTCACGTGAACAGATGAAAAGTCGGAAGAAAAAGTATTACTGGGACAGAACTGGATGGGCTCAAGGAGAAACTCAGAGGACCACAACTGGGCAGGTGGTGAACTGAGGAACAAGTACCCTGAGGATTTTAAAAATTTATTATGAATGCCTGAAGATCAGTTTGATTTTCTCTTAGTTAGACACCAATATGAGACAAGCTCTGAGTGATACATTTTTCTGCTTTTATTGTAAGTCGGACAAGTTAGCGAAAGAACTAAATATCTAGTCAAATTAAAAAAGAAATGTTTAATTCTTTTTAAAACTCACAAATATTAGAGCTACTCAACAAATTTGATTTTGTTGGACGTTGCTGTACAAATGGACAAATGAAGGAGATCATGGACATGAACCAAATGACCTTTGAAACATGAACATCATCCGTGCCAGCTCCTGAGCTTTCAGTCTCAGCCTTCTTCTTTAACTCCTGACAATATGCACTTCTCAAATTCTTGAATTCCCGCGATTACTTCTTTAGGTCCGAATCCCGAGATTAGCTTCGCTGATTCTTATAGCTGCTGCCAGTCTCAAATCTCTGTCTTTGTATTCTTTACAACTTGAATCGTATAACACACCCGTTCACCAGCATACAATTCGATAAACTTGACAGTTTGGCTATCTTGCAGCCTTAGTACACGATATCCTGATGGCTCAGACATATTTATGCGCTAACGAAAACGACGCCACGTGGTTATGCCTTGCCACCGACTGTCGTGCTTACGCCCGAAAATCAAACGTGTTTGATGACGCTAGCGTGATACGCCCCGTGAGAACGAGGCATTAGAGAGAATATTTTAGAGTTAATCCTAGTTTTACGCTGCATTTTCATGAAGCGTGGCAATGCTAGCGTGATCCTTAGCTTCAAGAAATTGTCTCCATCTGAACGAGTTGTCGTTGAGTTTGCCCCAGATGTCATCCGAAAAGAGGTAAGTTCTCGACCGCTCACGATCGGTATCGGGTTGGTGGTAGTTTGGTTTGTGTGATGATACTTAATTGTTTACAATATACGTTTGATTGTCTCTTGATGTTGGATGGTTGACGATTGAAACTAGTTTTTGGACATTGCCTTGTGTTAAGAAAGGTGAAAGACCAAAACCAAAATTATAGGTCAGGAATGTGAGAGGGAATATTACATTCATTTAGGCTCACAAACCTAACTCGTTTGAACCGAGAAAACATGGCCCTTTTGAAACTGCAAGTGCAAGAACGAGCATGCTATGGTCATATGGACTGTAAAACAGTTTTAAGGTATTATAAAAATATTAGTCAAGCTT